TAAAATACACAAAACATGTGTGTATACGAAGAATTGAAATTAAATATTTGTAAGTAATACATTCCTAATATAAAATCAGTAACCGATTTCATTTTCATAATCTGCAGTGTAATTCACACTCGTCATGTGATCGATCACGACGTGTATTCAATAGCCGGGTACCTACAATTCCAAGGATAAAAGTATTCACTTGCGAGTCGAGTGACAGAGCGGTAAGGCAGGGCGTCGCCAACTATAGCCTTAATATCGGTGCTGATTCCAGCCGCTTCTCATAGCCGCCCAGGTTCCTTACCTACTACCTCTCTCCAAAATCAAGGAGAGCAAAAAAGGACTAAATACCTTTTACACTTATAAATTCCCTAATTCACACTTTAAAAAGCAATCTTTTTTGTATGTTTAATTTTAACGTTGCAAATCACTTCTTAATGTTAAATACTCCCGTGTAAAATGACTGTAGAAAGGGTTTGTTTTGTCGTTTTTCTTTAGCTTACAGTTACCTTTCTAAAAAAAACGGTTGTCCTGATACTTTTACTGTAGTTTCAACCAATTTAAGTGTACTATTATTGAACTTTTTGTCAATATTTATATTTTTTGTTGTTTCATTGATATTGTTTTACATTTAAATTATGATAAATAATTGTATTTTAAGTTATATTCAAATCCTTTAATTTGATTTTTAACACTGCTGGATAAAATAAATATATAACAAAATGGGAAAAATCGTTATACAAAAAAATCATTTCATATCTTTTCTAATACATTATAACCCCTATTAAGGGGACACCTTCGGGACCAAGAAAAGTGTCCCTTAATAGGGGTTTCCTCTAAATACGGGTACCGCTATTCAAGGGACACTAACCAACAACGTGAAATTGTCCCCTTAATAGTTGGTTTTTGGCAGGTTTATATATAACGATAACATACAATTCTTCATATTTTTTTTTACACTGATATAATTAGTTACAGTAGAATAAGAACTAATTTATAGCAATAATTTGCAATGCAAGTACAATTCATTTATAATATGAAAGTGTAATCAAACAACAATAGTTTTATGATGCAATGTTAATGAATGAATTAGATTCAAGTTCGCAGAAAACAAAGAAAATGAAATCCCCATGGTTAAGGGTAAAAAAATGATAAGATTGGTTTATACGAAGTAACAAAAGCAGTAGGCCTTACCGATATTCACATGAGGGATTTGAGGAGAAAAGTTTTTTTTATTGCTCAAAATTCAAATTGCAAAATTCAATTTTCATTTTCAATCAATTTAATTTTAATTTATTCAAAAAACCTCCGAAACAGAGAAGTAAAGTAGTAGGCCTAGAATAACTTAAAAACAATATAACAATTTCACAATTTATTCATATATTATATCAGAACAATTAGGCTAAAGCAAAAACCAAGGCAAAATTGGATAAATTCCCAAAATACATAATTCAATCAAATCAATAAGAGAGACCAGAACACCACTTTAACAGATATTATCAAAACAAAAAAAACATGAAAATACTTAAACACACCAAACTGCTTCCAAACAAAACGGATTATTTACTTGATTCAAAATTCTTTTTGCAATTTAATTTCAGATAAATATTATTATTATATTAATTATTATTATTATTATTATTATTATTATCATTATTATCATTATCATTATCATTATCATTATTATTATTATTATTATTATTATTATTATTATTATTATTATTAATATTAGGCTTATTATTACGTAGTCTAACAAAAGCTCGCCCTTGACAAATAGCAGTAGAGAGGTGATAATAGTTAGAAAGGTGATAAAAGTTAATTAATGAGTTGCTCAAAATGTGTTAAAACGTGTCAATATACAGTTGAGTAAATTTTTCTTATCTGGAGACTGTTGTATTTATTGTGATACAATAGAAAATAAATAAATAAATAAGTGTCCCATCAATAGGATATTTGACCATTGACACACTCAAAATGTGTTCCTGTCCCCTTGATAGGGGTGTCCTCTGAATTGGGGTGTTCCAAAGGAGAGGTTCTACTGTACTTCACTCATATGCCTCATAACAAGAGTTAGTTTATGTAGAGCATGTGCATATGGGCCTATGTTTGTATTTTAAAAGGGATTGACAAATTAAATTACACGACGCTTATAACTTACTGTTAACCTACCAAAGAAGACAGGGGTAATTCAATAATCACAAGTAAATTTCCCGCACGAATAAGAATTTTTTTACAAAAACGTAATACAATAATGACGTATTGATTATTATTGTTTATTTTCAAAATATATTTCAGCCCCCCACCCAAGTCCATTTCTTATTCCTTCCTATTTATATTCATACTTTTATGCATTACACTAGGTTTATAGGTCTATACTATATTAATTTAAATATACAATTAATAGATAAGATGGACCTAGTATTCCATACTTAACATAACATCAATTAAAACGTGGACATCAGTCACAAAACAGATTCAAGGAGGACGTACGGTTTCTCCTTCTAATAATTAACCTTTATTTCTTATAGTTGGTGGTACATTAAAACTAACAAAATAATTAAAAAACAATAAAGTATTACACAATAAAGAAAATAAAACAAAACTCTTACTAGGCCTATATAACTCGTTCTGTGTGTTTTGAGTCCGCAAGACGCGAATACGGTCTGCTATCGCAAATGAAAGATCCTTTCTGGCGTGGCACGCAGAACTCGCAATTAGCTTTCAGACGACACAATACCGGAACGCTTCCTTAGTCGTTGGTTCCGTGATATTTGTAGCTCACAAACTTATTTCTTGGATCAGAACAACAAAAAAAATCAATATTTAATCATTCAATTCCACCTTCGATACTGTGATAATCCACACAGAATACTGCATTTTAATTGTTAAACCACACAGGACACTGCATTTTATTGTTAATCCATACAGGATACTGCACTTTTGATCCACACAGGATAACTTTTAATTATTCCACACAGGATAACATTTTGTAACGGACACATATATTGGTAGTATATTCACTGTATAATAATGTGTAATACAATTAAAATTTGATCCACACAAGATACTTTACCCTACCAGGTCCACACTTTGATAGTGACACTACAATTTCTATTCAGTCCACACAGGACACACAAAAATCAGCTAACATCTCTGACTTTCTCTCAGTGCAGTTCCACCTCAACCAACTCCTTTTTCTCTCAAACTATTCTCCCTCAACATTGCGCAACTTTTTTTTTTTTTTTTTTTTTTTTTTATTAAGCCGGAGTTATGTTTAGACCCAGGCAAATATAGCTAACGACAGGTACGCTTTCTCCATCAGTAATGCTTCTTTTAAGAATGGAATGATTTGATGGAAGACCAAACCCAGTACTGTCTCGATTTTATTCGTGCGGGAAATCTACTCATGATGCGTTAGATATATTTATGGCATCTAGTGTACTGGACACATGTAGTGGATTAAGAATAATGTTTAATTGTTTCTATAACACGAGGGCATTGACATCGACATCACGTTAATGTTATTGATACAATGAATTGAATCACCAATATACCACCATTGTCATTCCTATTACCAAATTTAGAAATGTTTAAGAATAATAATGTGATTTAATCCTGTTACACCAGGATTTGTTCTTAAGACTAAAAAAAAAACTCCAATCATTATGGCTTATTTATAACAAGACTTACCTAAGACAGTAATTTAATGTATATTGCTATTCAAAATCTTCGCTTATTACCTAAACAAAATCGCTATAGTCAAATATAATCGATACCGTGTAGTGGATCGCTATAGTCAAATATAATCGATATCGTATAGTGGATTAAGAATAATGTTTAATTGTTTCTATAACACGAGGGCATTGACATCGACATCACGTTAATGTTATTGATACGATGAATTGAATCACCAATATACCACCATTGTCATTCCTATTACAAAATTTAGAAATGTTTAAGAATAATAATGTGATTTAATCCTGTTACACCAGGATTTGTTCTTAAGACTAAAAAAAAAACCTCCAATCATTATGGCTTATTTATAACAAGACTTACCTAAGACAGTAATTTACTGTATATTGCTATTCAAAATCTTCGCTTATTACCTAAACAAAATCGCTATAGTCAAATATAATCGATATCGTTATTGAACTCTTTAAATTAAATTTCCACTACCATCAACATAATCATCATTAGAACTATATTTTGGAAATGAGGAAAAGCGTCTATATGTAATTTTGATCTATCTGTGGTATTACAAGCGTGGGAGGGCGGAAGAGAGGGAGGAGTATTTTTGGTGTGAATCACACCTATAACCCATGAAGTCCGAAGACTTGTTTACAGTGGGGGTCTTTCTAGTGGTGAACTGTACAGTACACATGGAGGAAATCCCCTACTTTTTTTCCGAATGGTGTACAGCGTTCTTTAACGTGCACATGGGAAGAATGCATACGGTACCAGCGGTGCGCTATCTTAACTTGCATTTCACGGTTTAGCGCACACACAGTGGCTACAATCAGTTTAGCCGACTATGCTGTTCTGCTCTGCTGTGCTCCGCTCGCAAATTTTCTTAATGTAGGATAGTTTGGTAAAATCTCATGAATTACGCATAACCATCCTTGCATACCGTATTTTGCGCATGCGCTGTTTTCAAGTAAGTGTCAGCCTCAGTGATCAGCTGTTCTGTGCATCACAAGTCACCTAGTGTTCGATTTTGATAGAATGACACACTTTTATGACCTGGAGATTCAGCCTTTGTATGAGATTTGTTGAATCAATGCAAGAATAAAACAAGTGATTGATAGTAGATCTAAAGTTAAATGCATTTACTTTCAGTCTGAAAATACAAAATATTATTAAATAGTGGCCTGCGTCAGTCACTTATGACTATGCAGAAAGCACACAAAAAAAATCATACTGTACAATGATGTAATAAAGGAAAGATTAAGAGGAAGTTCATCATCATCAATATAGCTCATAATCATCATTTGATCTTCTTTCTTTGCAACCCCTCATGTGACTGTGGAGTCCAATTCTTGATTTGCATTTCCTTTTACAATTTGGACATCATTCAATTCATCTGACATTGTTGGTTCTTTTGTTTTTCGTTGGTGGCGGAGGTAAGCTTTATGTTTGTAAAGTTTTTGTTGTCGCATTTCCACAGCTGACTTAATTGAATGATGCCATGATTCTCGGTTGTTGGTCATTTCTTCTGCAGTATGGGGATCAATGTTGATCGAATTGAGATCTTGTTTACATACATCTTTATACCGCAGTAAAGGACGTCCTCTAGAGCGCTTTCCTTCTGCCAGTTCACCATACAAAAGTTGCTTTGGGATTCTGTGGGATTCCATTCTTATTGTGTGACCAAACCATCTCAATCGTTTATATGTTAGTAATGTGTAAATATCACATAGTTCTGCTCTCTCTAGCACCTCTTTGTTACTGATTTTATCTTGCCATTTAATGCCTAGAATGCGGCGAAGGTTTCTCATATGAAATGTATTCAGCTTTCTCTCTTGCCAGGCGTATGTTGTCCAAGTTTCACTAGCATATAGGAGTATGCTTAATACACAAGCTTTGTATACCTGACACTTGGTTTTATTAGTCAGCTTGGCGTTCTCCCATACTCTATCTTTCAGTCTTGCCATGGTTACAGTGGCTTTTAATATCCTCTTCTCAATCTCATCATCTAGTGTACCTTTGGGGTTAACTGTAGACCCAAGGTAACAGAATGTCTCTACACATTCCAGTTCTTCACCATTGATTTTGATTGATGGGGGTTCATCATCTCCTCTGTGTAAGATTTTAGTTTTGTTAATGCTGATGGTTAGACCAAACTCGTTACAGGCTTTTGAGAAGCAGTCCATAACTTCCTGCAGTTTTTCAGGTGAGTGAGTGAGAAAACCAGCATCATCTGCATAGAGCAAGTCATGGATATTGAATGTATATGTCCTTGTCTTTGCTCTAAGCCTTGCCTGATTGAAGACTCCTCCATCTTCACGGGTCCGGATAGCAATACCAGGATTTGCTGGGCAAAGGCTGAACGTTCGTATCAGTACTACTGCAAAGAAGATGCCGAAGAGAACTGGAGCTATGTTATCACCATGCTTAATACCATTTCGGATCAGAAAGGGTTTTGAAGTCTTGCTATTGAAGGTTATAACTCCAAGTTGTTTCTCATGGAAGGACTTAATAATGCCAATCAGGATTGGTGGACATCCTATTCTTTCTAGGACACTAAATAGTGCATCTCTACTAATTAGATCAAATGCTTTTGTTAGATCTATGAATGCTATGTGGAGCGGCATGTTTTGTTCTCTACACTTTTCTTGCACTTGTCTGAGGGAGAAAATCATGTCTATGGTAGATCTTCCTACTCTGAATCCACATTGTGATTCAGAGTAGACACGGTCAGCTATAACAACTAGTCTCTGATGAATGATTTTGGCATATACCTTTCCTACTATGTTGAGGAGTGAGATACCTCGATAGTTGTTACAGTCCTTCCGTGATCCCTTATTTTTGTAGAGTGTTATAATCTTTGAGTTACGTAGTTGTTGTGGTATAGTTGGAGGAGTGTGTCTCCAACATTGTAACAATAAGTCATACAATGGTAGTAATAAAGTAGTTTTGCATTGTTTGATGACCTCAGGTAGAATGTTGTCATCTCCTGGTGCTTTTCCTACATTAAGGGTATTAATGGCCTTTAATCGATCTTCCACTGTAGGTTCTTCATCAAGCTCAAACAGTTTTGGAAGTAAAGGGACTTGATCCAGTGTTGCTGGTGCAAGTGGGACGGTATTGGAGAACAGTTCATAGTAGTATTCTGCCCATCTGTCTAATTGTTGTTCTTTGTCATGTAGAATTGTGCCATCTTTTGCTATGATTGGTGCTGATTTTTTAGGTTGTCTTCCAATGGCACATTTTAAACCCATTATACATTTTCTTGATATTGCCAGTTTCTGCTCCCTTCTGAATTTCTTGGCTTAATTTCATCCCTGTCTCTTATACACATCTAGATGTGTATAAGAGACAGATGTTATTGATACGATGAATTGAATCACCAATATACCACCATTGTCATTCCTATTACAAAATTTAGAAATGTTTAAGAATAATAATGTGATTTAATCCTGTTACACCAGGATTTGTTCTTAAGACTAAAAAAAAAACCTCCAATCATTATGGCTTATTTATTGTATTTTAATCTGTTATACAAATGTCTACCAAGAGGTTAGGCCTACCTAATAGCGTGCCTGGCCTAATAGCCGCTAATAATAGACTTTACTAACCATGAATTTATTCATCTTCGTATTTTGAAGGGCGGCAAAGAGCTGTGTTCGAAGAGTGTTAGTGCGTTTAATACTAACAAATCATTATATTACGCGCAGTGATTACTAGGCAACTGACTACGTTCGCAACCAGCACTATGGATTGGGATAATATGATAGCAGCTGCTCTAACCAGCAGTTTAATTAAAGTGTGATGGATGTCACAACTGACTTCTAAGCAATTATAATCAAATAATTTCATACACCATAGGAAATAGAAGCTCAGAAACCATTATTTCCTTCAAAAATTGCCTTCAACTTTGCCTGCTTCAGGCAATTTTCTTTTTAATTAATGTCTCCTTCGGCTTCTAGTTCCTATAGAATACTCAAAACCTGGCTATAATTGCTTATAAGACAAGTTTTAATATTAGAACGATAGGATAACCATTTATTGTGCAAATGATAAAAAATAAAAAATAACAAATCTAATCAATTAATGTCATAATAAAATCTTTATTGTACAACAATTTTATTGCTGTTATTAATTATGACGTCATTTGATTTGTGAAATATATTTTCATCATAGAAAATGATTATGGAATCAGGCTAGTATTAAAACATTTTAAAATACTTATTTAGAAACATTTTTTTTTTTTTTGTTGTTGTTGATTGTTATCATCATAGTATAAACAGGTTTGTAGGTCCTAAATTATCACCAAGTATTAAGATTTTTCTTTTAGCTTTAATATTGACCTGGCTTTCTTAGTAACTACAAAATATAATGTTCATTTTATATTGTACACATGTTGTTAAATGAAAAAAAAATATTATTTAACATGTTGTAAACTGAATGTAGATTATGAAAATATAACAGAAATAATAGTGGCTTTAATATTGACCTGGCTTTCTTAGTCACTACAACATATAATGTTTATTTTATATTGTACACATGTTGTTAAATGAAAAAAAATATTATTTAACATGTTGTAAACCGAATGTAGATTATGAAAATCACCCAATTGAATACTTTAATAGCCCAAATCCCATCAACAAGCACCTATGCAGATGATGATGATGATGAGGATTTAGATTACTGAAAGAAAAAAAGAAGTAATAAGTAATTTTCTTTTATATTTTCTCAACAATTTGACACTAAAATGAAAGAGCTAAAAATGTAAGTCACAGAATTATAAAAAAAAACAAAAAAAAAGAAAAGATAATTCACTGTTGTCATGTCCCTTGTTACTAGTCTTTGCTTTTTGAACTATCCCCTAGAAATTTTAACTGGAAATCTTGATAAGAGGGAGTAATTGGAAAATTTAACTTAATTATTAAGACTATAGGGACCGTCATGTGTTCTTAGGAAGTTTCTATACTTGTTTGCTGAAGTATTGTTAAATGTTTCATTAGGGAGGGCTTCCCATGCTAAGATAGCTTCAATGCGGACAAAAACGTTCTTTTCATATTTCATTCTACTATTACTAAGCCAGGGTTACAAGCCCTAGGCTTAGACATTTCAAATAGAAAACGTTTCAACTTATACTAGTATTCAGGTTAAGATTTTTTTCTGGTTAACTTTATATTAGGTCACAATATTAAATACATACTTTTTCATATTCTTTAATAATAGAAATTTCTAACTCTATTAAGAATTACTAAAAGCTTTGCTAATATTAATAAACCTTTTTTTATATAAACAAATCTTGGAAAGCACACAAGATCTTGTGTTCAAAGTCGAATATATGGAACGTGTAGGCTGCCGGCACCTTGAAGTCTGATAATTAGTGCCAAACAATGTTTACAAAGACGTAATGCAATATAACAAAATGATAAATTTGTATTTTCGGTAAATATTTCAGCCACTCCAAATTTCTTTCCTATTCTTCTTTCTTTCTATGCTTCTTCCATATTTTTGTTAAATTTTATTAATTTTACTAAATACATACTTACGCATAATGTAAATATAAATATGTATGTATATATATATATATATATATATATATACATATATATATATATACATATATAAAATATATCATTTTAATAAATAATTACACTTTACATTTTCTCCAAATAAAGTCTTCTATGAATGGAATGACCTGTTTGAAGCACAAACCCCTACCATTACGATTATTAATAGTGCATATAATCTACTTCTGATGAATCAACAAACACATATCATCAATGTAATGTCGGAGCCTTGGACACCGCCCTCTATTATGTTGAATACCGATGTTGGAAATGAGGATGCTAGAGTGTGGAAATAAAGCATGAGAGTAAACGTTATACCGTAGTCAGTTGTATACGTTATTAACCGTTCGAACTTGAGTAAACAGACACTCTGCACACATCACAATCAATGGAGCATTTTCATGTTCTTCATCTAACGCTATCTATGCCATTACATGTACTAAATGCCCTGGTATTAAAAACAGAACAGATAGGTTGATTGCTGAACAAACTTTCATTAAGAAATTAGACAGCAATAATAGTGGCCTTAATATTGACCTGGCTTTCTTAGTCATTACAAAATGTGTTTATTTCTAACAGCAGGAGCGCCGTAACATATAGCTGTTCATTGAGAAAATATCTGTTTAGGCAAAAAACTTCTAGAATATTTTTTATTTTTATATTTTAATGTTAATTTAATGTATCTTTTTTCTCAAAACTACTTTAATAAGGTCGATCATACACACGATGGCAACCATCCCATGCTTGGACTATAAGGAGAGCATTTTCATCATACATAAATGATGATTCTGTACAGGGAACAAAAGGGTCCTTACCAGGTGAGATAGATGTACTTCAATATTGAAAACATACTCTAAACTTATTGGTTTATGATACAATTTTGAAACAATTTTATGTCTCTATAATGTCAACGTATATGGAATCGTTTATTTTTTTTTAACCAGATTTTTTCCCCTGAATCCTTAAAAATGACATCGTTATATGCCTACTGTATGTGTTAATTCTTATACCCAAACATCAAATATTGACGAAAAAGAAAGAAACTAGAAAGCAGAAAATAACAATGGTTAAGCTCCAATCAACATAGATCGTTTTGTACGGATTCAATAAGATGTTACATATGTTCATATTCCTATTCTGCTTTCTATACTATTCAGTGTGATGAGAGAACTTTGTTCTTAAAAATAACAATTTATATACTGTAATTAAAGTCCCATTATGGAATGTAGGCAAAAATGGCCCCGGTAAAAATGGCCCAGGAAAAAATGGCCCCGGTTAAAAATGGCACCATTAAAAATGGCCCCAAATGACAAGTAGGTAAAAATGGCCCCAATTAAAAAAATCAGTAATAGAAATTATATATTTTTTTTAAATCTTCAAATATTTAAATTCTAGCTGTAAAAAGCAAGAATCGAATCGTTAACAAAACAGTTACACAACTGATGCAAATTGAACTGAGAGATTATCGGAAAACAATGGCCATTGAATAACATTTTTTGATAGTAGAAATAAGTTTTAAAAACGTTATTCCACTATCAAAGTAGAGGAATGACATACACAGTACTTCAACTACCAAAATATGCAACTCATAGATTAAACCACAAAATTCACTTTTGGTTTGGTATCAAATGAAATAACTTTACATGTTATAAACAGTGCAAATAAACAGTAGTTAAAGCATGTGGATCAATTGTGTGTTTGAATCACAAGTTCATGTATGGGAAAAGGTAGAGGCTTACTTTCTCACAAACTTAGCAATAAACGTTCTGCTTATAGTTACTTCAAAGAAGTATTTGTTAATCAAATATTGTTTTTAAAGTAAACTGAATAATTAGGAATACATTTATTTAAGCAACTTATTTAATTGCATAGTTGGTTTTTACTAACCTCCAACTAAATTTCAGTACCTAAAACTATACTAAATAATGTAAACTGAGATACTATATATACATGTGTAAATATGGCAATTATGCTAAGAATTAAAATGGCGTGTAATTGTGAGGGTAGGGTAATTATTGTAAGAATAAATGGTACAGTATTTCTAAATCCCACAAACCTCCCACACACTGTAGAAAACCAAACAATTCAATTTTGATTGACTCACTTGGCATATCAATAAGAAAGTTAAATATTCATAAGAACCTATCTTTTGGTTAAAATGTTGATTTTTTTTTTCGTGAAAAAATACTTGCAAATACACCACAGACCTCAAAACACACTGCGAACCCCATCCAAGCCCTTTAATTATGATTTTAGAACTCTCTTTTTCCGGGGCCATTCTTACCGTACACCGGTACGGGCATAGGAGTGCGGCTTTTTTAGACCTTTTGTTAATGGTACAGTATGAGTAGACTACAATTATCAACTTATATATAGGATTACCTTCGTTGAGAGCTATGCTACACGATGTATTATTATATTTCTGTCATAATGTGTAGGGTCTGGCCCCTCCAGGCAGCAACCTTTAAAAGATAAATGAGTCTGCCTCCATGCAATAAGTTAATATATATGATGCTATTCTCTCGAGATAGCCAGTGGCTTAAATATCTTAAAATAATTTTGAAAGTGCATATTTTTAGCACGTGTTTTTCCAATATCAAATTCGAATGTTTTGCTTTCTTAAGATCTTACATCGTGTGGCAGGCGATAGTAGCTGTTACCGGCTTACCGGCCCTACATTTCGTATGGTAGGT